GCTGGCCTCGAACTCACAAAGATTCACCTGGCTCTGCCTCCCGAGTGCTGGGATTAAAGGCGTGCGCCACCACCGCCCGGCTTATTTTCATTTTTTTTTAGTTTCATACATGTAACAATTCATTGTGATTGTATTAACCCACTGTTACCCTCTCTCAGCCCTGAACAATCCTGTGATCATCTTCCTCCCAACCAGTCTCTTTTCTAATTTCATCTCATTTTTTAAAATTGATTTATTTATTATGTAGTCAGTATTCTGCCTGCATATATGCCTGCAGAAGAGGACACCTGATCTCATTACAGATGGTTATTAGCCACCATGTGGTTGCTGAGAATTTAACTAAGGACCTCTGGAAGAGCAGCCAGTGCTCTAAACTGCTGAGCCATCTTTCTAGTCCTCCTGTCATTTTACACTGCTCCATTGACTATTCATTCTTTATGTCATTGTATGTTATTTTATTGTTTCTTTTGGTGACCACATGTTTTTTATTTAACATAATTTCTTTATTGTATCTTCTGGAATTTCACATCATGCACCCTAATTCACTCATATCCCAGGCCTTCCATATCCTACCCTTACTCCTGCAGTGCCCCCCAAAAGAAAATTGATCAAACCAAACCAAGTAAACAAACAAAAAGAAACAAACATCTCTTTGCTCCTCCATCTATTCCTTCTTCTCCAACACCTCTTTATTCATCTTAGTGGCAATGGGTGCTGCCAAACATTATACCCTTTTGTCCAATCAGCTTTACTTGAAATGTTCATTGCAAAGAGTCATTGGTCTGATTCAAGGCCTCTGGTTTCTGTTATACCATCATCAATGGATCCTCACTAAAAAATCATCTTTGATATCCTGAGGCCACTTGGAGTCCCTGAGATCTTGTGGATATCCTTTCACAAGACCAGTCCCCTCACCAGCTCCAGCAGGTCCTAGGTGTAGTAGATATTAGTGTGGTACAACCTTAGATCTGGCTGTGGGCCTGGGTAGGTAGTTGAGCTAGTCAGTCCAGACCACTGGGGTTACCCCCTCAGGTAAGGGGCAGAGCCAGCTCCCCTACACCAATGCCATCAGGGTCAGTTCTCACTCTTCCATGAGAAGGGGTGGGGTAATCTCTTCAAAGTGTGGGGGCCAGCTCTCTTACTGTAGTTTTCAGTGAAGGGCAGGGCCAATTATACTATGGTCAGTGAATGGTGGGGCTTGTTCAACATAGCTCTCTGATTTCATCAGTAATGTATCCTATGCTCTCTTGAGGTGACACAGGCCACAGACATCAACACATACCCAGATGCAGCAGGACCATGGACCTAGACATGGCCAGCAGCAGCTGCTTGGGTCTGTATGACATCCTGGCTCTGGGTGGAAGCAGTGGCCACTCAGATCAGGATGGCTCTGGTGGTGGCATGGCTCCTGGACAAGGCCACAGGTTGCAGCCCCTATCCTAGGCCTCTATGTAACCTTTGGTAGCAATACAGACCTGGCTGTGGTGGCACCATAGACCCAGACAGGGTATTGAGGAGTAGTCAGGTCCAAATGTTACCGTGGCCTTCCAGATCAACCTGTCTCCAGTGGCAGCATGGCCCTCAACCAACATGGTTCCAGGTATTGACTTAGACCCCAGGAATCTGCATGGCCCTCATGATGAAAGGATCCATGGACACCAACAGAGATCCTGGCTGCAGTAGGGCCACATAATCAGACATAGCTCCCAGCAGCAGGCCTGGCCCAGACATCACCATGACTTCAAATAACAGAATGTGCCACTTTGGTCTGTATGGCACCAATCTAGCATGGCCCTTGATCAACATAGTCCCAGGTGGCTGAACATCCCTCATTCTGCACCCTTGGTCAGTGTGGGAAAGAAAAGCTCTCTTTCCTTCAAATGTCTCTGTGGCTTCAGGGGTAAGAAATACAAACCTACTAAGAATGTCTATATGGGGATAGAGAGGAAAGAAAGCTCTAAATGATGCTACCTGCTGTCCTACACTGATCTTTTCCAGACTGTTTGTATCCATGTATAGATCTCAAAGCTCCTTTCAGGGTTTGGGACACTGTTCCTAAATGGAGGTGCTCTCTAGCTTCCTCTGCAGCACAGGCCATGATTTTCATGCCAGAAACCTGTGCCTCTGCATGTAGGTACAAGTCACAACCAGAACAACATTTACTCCAAATTTTCAGCTACCCTTGAACTTATGATTCATTTGCTCATTTGTTATAGTTCTTAACTCTCCCTTGTAATCCTGTAGAAAACTGGACGCTGGTGACATAATCATAAACAGAAAAGTGCTTGATGTCATTCAAGGCTTCTCTGACTTCTAGTTTTAAAATTTTAAAATGAAGACTCAGCCCTTCTAGCATAAGAAGTGTGACTGTTTGCACACAGGTCTTCATAAGAATTCCCATTACCTTCATGACTCATATTCATGATTCAATTTTTCCCATTTGGTAGACTCCTTACAGTGACTGAGGGCAGCTATGGCTTGTGCCAGCATCTTCCATATTCCTACACCAGAGAAAGAACCTCATGCCTGGAACAGAAAGGAAGTTAGTTTCAGAATTCTGTCTCTTCCTGACACAGCATTAGATGATTAACAACTGTACTGGGGCCATCAACTACCCCAATATCACTAGAGGCCGTGGTCTGCAGATAGACTGAATAGCACAAACTGGATTTAAAAGAAGTTTCCAGCACTGTTGGAGTTAGATTATTTAATCTCTGCAAGCCTGTTTCCCCCTCCTTGTGAAACTGTTCCATACATTCCCATATAGCCAGGTTGTCTTGACAGAAAGTTTCATGTGTTCATACCTCAATTTACTTTGCAGGAACACCAGTGGAACATTCTCAAGCATGGGTCCATCCACCCCAGTCTGGAGCACTGACAACACAACAATGAATGGAAGTTACTACACTGAAAGCTTACTCTGTGACACCATGTACAAAATCTTCAGTATTCTTACTTTCATCATTGCTGTGGTTGGTCTGACAGGAAATACCATAGTACTGTGGCTTCTAGGCTTCCATGTGCACAGAAATGCCTTCTCAGTCTATGTACTCAACCTTGCTGGAGCTGACTTTCTCTACCTGTGCTCTCAGACTGTGTTTTTCCTGAGACAAATCCTTTTTCTGTCTCATACCAACTACTTTTATATTTCATTCTCTCACACCAGTATATCAGTCTTTGCTTACCTTGCAGGTTTATGTATGATTGCAGCCATCAGTGTTGAGCGATGCCTGTCTATTTTGTGGCCCATTTGGTATCACTGCAAACGACCAAGATACATGTCATCTGTCATGTGTGCCCTGCTCTGGATCTTCTCTCTACTGTTAACCCTCCTGTTATGGTTGGGTTGCAGTTCAATGATTGAAGGTTATTCTTTCTGTGCAAATGCTGTTTTTACCACTGTTGTACTTATAACAGTAATATCTGTAGTTCCTTGTGTATTTAACCTGGCCCTGTTGGTCAGGATCTTCTGTGGCTCACAGAGGATTCCTGTGACCAGGTTATATGTCACCATTGCACTCACAGTGCTGGTCTTCTTACTCTTTGGTCTGCCCTTTGGTATCTATTGGATACTTCTCATTTTGAATGTAATATTACCTAGAGTTTTATATTGTAGTGGTTATGGAATTGCAAGTTTCTTGTCCTGTGTTAACAGCTGTGCCAACCCCATCATTTACTTCCTTGTTGGCTCCATTGGGCATCGCAGGTTCCAGAGGCAGACTCTGAAAATTATTCTGCAGAGAGCCTTGCAGGACACTCCTGAGGAAGAAGATGGAGAGAGGGCTTCTTCAGGAAATCCTATACAGCAGGAAACAGCCTTGCGTAGTAGTTGAGTGAGTCCTTGATCAGACACAGTTGCATTGAGAATCAACTTGGCCTTTATCTGTGTGGGCCATTTTCATAATCTTGTTTAATTGGTTGAGAAAATAGTCCTTTTGTGGTAATTGGGTGAAATGGGGCTTGTTAAATAGAAACTAACTGCAGCTCCCTAAAGCTGCCTTATGTGGGCCTCACTACATCCCCTTGTGATATAAACCTTTTAATAAAATCACTTTATGTCAGGGCAGCTTCAGTATAGACAAACCCCTCCCTACAAAGAAGGCCTGAGGCAGTACAAGGAAGGTAAGAGTTTCTTTGTTCATTGAACATGATAAAGATTAAATGAATACTGTATTTAATAGAAATGTCCCTAATTTTACAAGTTGTTTTCTAAATGTTAAGAGAAATACTTGAAATTCCCATAATTCCAGTTTCATCCAATATTCTCACATTTTAGAATATGTGTAATTCTAAACTGTTCCTTATATAAATTGCCTAGCAAACATATATGCATCTTTAAGACTGCATATTCTAAATCTTCATTCACCCATTTGAGTCTAGAACTTCAAATATCTGCCATCTTCCTCACTGAAAGAATAAGAGCAGGTTTTATACATCGACATCCAAGCACTCTTTAAGGTAGAGAAAAACTGTCTCCAGTTTCCTCCTTTCCCAATGCCTTGGTTAGCATTCCATGATCATGTCTTCCCTCTTCTTCCCTGTCTTTGGCCTGATTCTCTCTCTGTGACTGTCTAAGCCATGATGAAAAAATTTCCAAGAGTGTCATTGAACTTATTTGCTCTTGAATTGAACCTCTGTCATATATACATTCTTCCCAAAAGTGCATAGCATCCATAACTTGAATTATGAGTGTTCACATTTTCCTTTTAAAATGAGTCTGAGTATTGAAGCTTGGTAGGAATGTTTAATTGTTTCCTTCACTTGGCAGTTTGTATAGTATTTTCTGGAACCATGGAAGTCATACCACAGGAAAGAGATCAGCTCAAGCTCAAATCATCTGAGTCCTTTGTCCTAAATGTGAAGTGTCTTCAGCAATACAAGCCTACCCTAAACCACTAAGAAATGGCCAATGGTTACATCTATATTCCATATTGTTTGGGGAGTCACAGGGACTCACAGGGACTATCCTGACCAACAATTCAAAAAGAGGTGTCTCACCCCTGAAACTGCTTCTGTGGGTTTATTGTCAGCCCAAGTGGCTTATTTCCTTTAAGATGTATGTGTTTGAATATATATATATATATATATATATATATATATATATGTGTGTGTGTGTGTGTGTGTATTATGTGTGTATATACATGTATATGTGTTTATATATATAAACACATATATATAAACGTATATATTCATGTTATATGTATAATTTCAAGGAAAGATAAAATAATATAATTCCTTAAGGCCTTAACAAACAACTCTCCTATTATTTGTCCCTTGTCCCTCCTCTTCCTTCTTTATTGGCCTGCCACCTTCCACACCAGTGATATACCCTCCCCATTCCAATTCCCACTTCACATCATCTCTATCCTGTTATTACACCCAACATATGGTCTCTTCATACATTTCTGGTTTGTGGTTATTCCATGTTGTATATGCACATCTGGGAATTTAGAGATAGGAGTTACAGAAAAGAAAGACAGTGTGGCATTTGTCTTTGTGGACAGGACTCCATTTGCCAAACAATTGATAAGTGAGTCTTCATAAAACTAAAAAACTTCTGCACAACTAAGGAAGCAATCAGCCATTTAAGGAAGAAACTCACAGGATGGGAGAGAATCTTTGCCAGTTACACACCAGTTGGAGGATTAATATTCAGAATATATAAAGAATTTCAAAAATGAAGAGTCCAAAAACCAAATTACATTTGAAAGATGGACTGAGACCTAAACAGAGAGTTCTCAAGAGAATAAATAAAACTTTCTGATAAAATATTGAATGCCTTTATCATCCTAATCAATGAGAAGAATGCAAACTCAAATGACTTTAATATTACATGTTGCCCCAGGCAGCACGTTTCAAATCAACTACAACAAGAACAACAACAACAACACAAAATGAACAAAAAATGTTATCTAGGTTGTGGAGAAAGCAGATCTCTCCCTCATTCATTCTTGTAGAAATGTGAACTGGTGTAGCCACTCTGGAAAACAGGATAGAGAATCTTCAACGACTAAAAATGCATCTACCGTATGCCCAACTATACTACTCATTGATATATGACCAAAGAACAGAACATCCTAGTCCACAGACACTTGTTCAGCAGTGTTCATTAACATCTTCTTCACAGAAGCCTGGAAATAGAAACAACCCAAATGACTTCAACTGGATGAATGGATAAGGAAAATGTACTACATACACACGATGGAATACTATTCAACCTTTTATGTAAATACAAGGCTAAGCTTTGAAAGTATTACCTCAAGTGAGGTAACATTTTCTATGAAATAATGTTTCATTCTTAAATGCTACTGATTTTGACAATTTAAAGTATAATTAAGAAGAAGTGATGGGCACAGATTAAACAAATGCGCAGTTCAAAAAATTTGCTTGGATAAATATAACAACTTGACTCAAAACCTAATCAAGACACAAAATACATCCTTGCCTCTGTGAGTTCCCTCTGTTCCTCCAGTCATAACTATGTCTTGGAGGTCAGTACTGCCTACATTTGCGATTTAATGTAAAATTGAGAGTGCAAACAAAGAGTATATCATAGTGTTGTGTGATATGTGATAAAAAATGGTTGTTAAATTTGAATGCACTAGAATATAGATATATTTATACACACACATATATATGTATATACATTTAAAATTTAAGTTTCTTTTTCCTCCATATAGCAAAAACTGCCCTAGGAAAAACTCCTGAATGCAATGCAAATTTACCATAGTGATCTTGTGTTGTAAATTACTTTTATTTCATTTTATGTATTTGTTACTTCATATTTTTTACACATTTATCCATTTGCTATTACCACAAAGTTTTAGTAACCAACATTACATCATGCAGTCTGTCTGTACATGTGGACACTTTAAAATACATTCCATAGGTAAATGAGGTTATACTATAGTTTTCTCCTTATGTTGATCCTACTTCCAACTGAGTTAAATGTTGACTCCATTTAAATTAAAACTCCATTAATATCTATTTGAGAAAGTAGTTGGTTTCCATACAGCTTTTCATAAGGCCTATAGTATTATTCTTAACCTTCTCCAAATTCCATCTCTATCCTGCCCTCCTATTGAACTTGAGCTTTGAAATAGTGTTGGAAATGTATTTTGTGACTCTTGAAGATGAACCACATGAGTTTTACATTATGAAATGTGCATGACACTTTGGGACAGAGGGCAGAATGTTAAGTTCTGAGTATCAAAAATCTTCATAGGCTTATGCTTTAAATGTTTATTGTCCAGGTAGTGGTTCTATTTTGAGAGATTTTACAAGGATTGGTTCCTAACTATTGGGCATGAATCCACCCATATTGTAGCCAAAGATAAGAACTCCTCACTTTTGACAGCTGAGGAATGACATGCTGTGTGTGACTGTCACAATTTCATAATAAATTTATCTGATTTTGGATGCCTAACTCTCCCATGTATTGAATCCTATAAATAATGTTCCAAGAAACATACAACACTTTCTTTTCATTGGTGGTAGACAGGCCTTTGTCAATTATTTTATTTTAAATCTGACACATCTATATTTCGTAGTCAGCATCTGGAAACAATCTGAATTTAGGGTGTTTTGTTCTCTTTTTCTGAAATTCAGTACTGAAGTTGCTCTGTTTCAATTAGTATGTGACACCAAGAGAAAACAGATTATAGTGGCTCATGGTTTGAGTGTGTGATACATGATTTAATGGCTCTGTGAATCTTTGTAGAATGTAATGGAGGTGGGGATATGTGAAAGGAAGGAAAGCTTACATGATGGAAGACAGAAAACAAATGTGACAGGAAAAGACCAAAAATATATATTAAAGTAAACTTCAGAGTTTATCACTGAGAGAATTCATGCAGGAACTCAAGCTGTTACTGAAAAACTAGGGAAGGACACTGCTTGCTGGTGTCCCCACTTGGCATCTCAGAATGCAATGTTCAGATAACTTTCTTTCTTTTTTTTTTTCATAACAAAGTTTCTCTGTGTAGTTTTGGTGGCTGTCTTGGATCTCACTCTGTAGACCAGGCTGGCCTTGAACTCACAGAGATATACCTGGCTCTCCCTCCTGAGTGCTACATAACTTTCTTATAGAGCTCCAGAACATTAGTTGAGGGAATGGCAATGTCCTGAGTAGGCTGAGTCCTCCTACATTAATTAACATTTAGACAATCCCTCAGAGATATCTCCATAAGACAAATAATAAAGTACTCAATTGGGGCTTTTCAGAGAATCCTATTCTGTATCAACATGCCAATTTGTAAACTAGGACATTCCACCATTTTTCAACTTGCCACACAAACATTTCACTTAAAGCCATAATTTTTCTATTCCTTGTCCCTGAGGTCTGATTTTAATATCACCAGATAAAATACAGTCAAAATTTCAAATTCTAAGTCTTGAAAATAACAAAAAAAAAAGTCTTATTCCAAAATGAAAGAAGTGAAAAATATCAAAATAAATGAAAAATCTAGCAGTGTAAATGCAAATCACACAGTTCATGTTCAGCATCTGGGACTCTCTAGTTGTCTAGATCCAAAAAGTTTATGCAGGCCCATTTGATTGCTCTGCTATATACAGCAAAGACACTTTGTCTCATAGGTTCTCCCCTTTACAGCAAGCACGGTTTGTGACATAGGCTCAGGCTGTCTCCACTACACACCTGCCTTTGTCCTTGAAAACCACCCCATGACACTGTCATTTCTGAAAACCAAGGAAGCATAATGGAAGAGGGGTGTCTTAGGTATGATTTTTATTGTTGCAAATGTATGCAATGACTATGGCAACTCTTATAAAAAAACATTTAATTGGGGTTGGCTTACAGTTTAAAGGTTTAATC